GCACAAGAGAAAAACATTCATGAGTGAGTCACACATCTAAAGAAACTTCATGGAAAACAGAGCACAACCAAGGAAGCCGGTAATAAACGTACAGAGAAAACAGCACACAAAGGAAATACTGCTCTTCTGGATTATTTTACGGAATTCTAGTGTCTAATCCCTTCACCCTCTGTTCTGAAAAAAAAAATGGAAAAATTCAAATTCACAGTTGTTCAAGTCTACAAATCCTTAGCTACCACAAAGCTAATTCTACTTTCTCCTGCCTTTTCCTCCACCCACCATAGTGAGAAAGATATCCCAAATGAAACAAGTATCCTTCAAAACCAAGCTGCTATAGGATCTCTTCTAGTCAACTGTTGTCTAATTAACTTTCTTTTAATCATCCTCAAATTCTCATTACCTTTGGCACATTTCCTTCACCCACTGGCTTCTCAAGCTTTTCTCCATCTCAATGCCTTTCCTTCCCACTGCACCTCTTTCTTTGCTACTCTCATTAATCCACAGAGCTTCCAAAGTCCTTCAGTCTTCACCAATTACATGTATTTTCACTGTCCTTCTAGGGAACTCTCTCATTACCCTATCAGTAGGAAAACTCTTTCAAAAAGATCTCATAAAAATCGTATCTCCTATGTAGTTTTACCATCCACTTACCTCTTGTATAATCCAGTAATTTGACTTCAAAGGAAAGTGTAGGTTACCCATGTTCTTTATCCCATCTTTCCCCAGTGTTTATATAAATAGGGAAAAGCTTTCTCTTTTTTGACTCTACCCTGAAGTTTTGCTGGAAAGGAGGTGGACAAAAGTAGATTGCAGGAGTTATGTTCTAAGTGTTTTGAGGCCCAAGACTCCTTCCTCAACAGACTATTCCCTGATCAGACTGCGTTCTCACAGTATATTTGCCTCAGGGTTTTATGTAATGATTACAGGACTTCTGGCTGGGGACTCTGAGTAAAATTTCAAACCAAAGATAGGAATGAAAATATTATAAACTTGATTGTGTAAATTACCACAGAAGCTTTTCAAATTAATATTTCGAGGCATTTGGTTTTCTCATGAAAAATTACGTTTCAAGGGAAACATACTTCTGCATTAAAAACATTTTCTTAGCAATCAAGTTTTCCACTTTAAAAGTTACCTATAGAAAAATCCTGATTATCCATAGTAAATCACTATTCCACCTATGTTCATCTGAGTCCCTGTTGGGGTTCGGATAGGAGTGAGGGCAGAAGAATAGTAGACAAGAACTATCTTCCCTCAACCTCTTATGTGTACATGTGGTTTCAAGCCTGAACTTCAAGAAGTAACCAGACATGTATCCTGATAAGGAATAAAGATAGTCTAACAAAGGGCTCAAAAGCACTTTCAAACAGAAAGACTTTAGGAAGTTCTTCCACTGTTTTGGGGGTTTTTTTTTTGTTTTTTTTTGTTTTTTTTCTAATTAGATTATTAATATCATATATATGTACTAGCATATCAAACAACAGATGACTAGAGATTCTCATTTGTACACTGATATACTCAGAATGAACTAGATACATTTATAGGTGTTAAGATGCAAAATTAATAGACATATGCACATGTAACTTCTGTTCTCCTTTCAAGGTAGGTACCACATGTTCCTACTTCATTAGTTGTTTTCTACTGTTCAGAAGTAACTAGGAAGTTGTCTAGCACATGCTGGCTGATTTTACAGTATCTCTTGTGATTTTTTTTCATTGTTAACATGACAAAAGACAATTTTTCCCTTAGAAAAGATATGCTACAAAGTAGGCAGTAATTATGACTGGTTTCCCACATCATCTCTTCTCAGATTTAGGTTTACGCTGGAGGGAGACCTCCTCTCAGACCTTAACAAACAAAACAGATGTACGAATCATCTCTTTGCATGATTTGGAAGGTTTATATTACACATTTAATTGAATAGTATAAAGGAAAATAAGTATTATTTTATTCTTCCTTATTTATATTGTCTATTTAGCATGTAGATAAGCACATTTTCTTTTTCAGGAAGAGTTCAGGTGCTAAACTTAACTAACAACCATTACGATAAATAATCCTTGCTCCTCTTGCTTCATTTTTTTTCTTGTGTTCCTCCATCCCTGCTCACTGCATGTCATGTCTAAAACCCTCATCCAATTACTTTTTTGTATCCTTTCTCCTCCCTCATCTACATGTCACTTAGCATCATCTTAATTTCCCAGGTTCTTTTCTGATGCAAAAAATTAAATTCTCAGTCATTACAGAAGACAACCATTATATAAAGTCAGTACCTTATGTAATTAATTATATGTTAACTGTCATTGTCAGGAATGTTTATAAAGTTCGAGTCCCCTTAAAAGCCTAAATAGGTCACAAATCTATCCAAATACTTCCCTGGAGCAACAGATAATGCAAGTTCTCTAACCATCAGACTACCAAGTAGCGTCTTCTGTTTATAACTTCTCTTAGGTCTTTCTTCTCCCTTCAGAAAAACACAAGAAAATTAGGGGGAAAAAACTGTAGCCCTATATCAACCATATCCATTAACCAAATAAATCTGGAGACAATTTGATGATATTTTTTTTAAATCATTTCAGTTCCAGAATGAAAACTAGTAGAACACCTGAATCCTTGGAAATTATAATGCTTGAGTGTTAAACAGAAACCTGAAAAACACAGGTGCTTGAGGATCTAACTTTTAAATCCATGCCTCCAGTGTAGACATTGTGCTGTTAAAACAGCATGATCCATGACAAATTCCGAAGTACATTGAAGATCCACTGTGTCTAACACAAAAAAAAGCAATCCTTATGACATACCCACATCACCACATAGTATTACAGTCTTTCCTGATGCAACTTCAGGATGCCACAGGGAGGTTACATAAAGGCCTGTATACAAACAGTGAACGTATGAGAGAAACTTTTCCACAAGAGGCCTGAGACAGATTAATGTGTTTCAAGATACAGGTTTGATTCATTTTCAGCTCTAGCAGATGGACCTTTGCCCTGAGTCAGATGAATGTTTGAACAATTGAACCAGAACAGAACAGGATGCAACTCTTTCCACCCGACTTCTAAAAGAACAAAGCAGTTTTAAATTTTGAAAAAAAAAAAAATGTATAGACAAATCTACTTTCAGGTTAGAGAACTCTTGAGGACATAGCTCCCCTGTCCTAAATAAAGTACAAAAACCCTCAGAGTGGGACTCGTTTTCAGACACACTTTAATTTTAGCTAATTTAAACGTCTGAATGCTCTTTACTGCCGAAGTTTTTAGGCAATCGCCCTTACAAAGCTTTGCATATGACTGAGACACTTAACTGTGCTAAACATAGCAAAGGAAAGCACCCTAGGAATTAAGTCATTGTCAGAAGCTCCCTTAGACACAAAACTTGCTGAACAGCAATATTGGCAATAACCCCTCCAACAGAGCAGTGATTCTCACCGTTTAGAAACTGAATAAACTAGTTCCAAGAATTACTAGAAGTCTAAGGGCAGAATAAGAATTAAAAATAATTCATACCAACTATTATCTCTATACATCAATTTAGAAATGGCTTTCTAAGAAGGATACCAAAGTTATCAAAATATCAAGGTATCAAAGATATAAAAATAGGAGAGAGTCTTCTTTTGAGGCAAACTTTCAAAGTTCACCTACTGCAGCTTTGTGATTATTGTATTTGGCCACAGTTATCTGATACACATTTGCAACTAGTCAGAGAGTAAGAACTTTCATCTCCTTTGGCTCAGCACAACCTCTCAACACAGATGTGACAAATGAGGTTGCAAAACTCCCAGTAAACTAGACTTCACACTTGGTATCTTTGGCAAATCTCCCTCATCTTCTTGCTTAAGCTTGTGAGAAACGAGAACTGCTCAATTGTCAGTCATCGACGGCCGCGAGAGGATGCGCTGTGACGCACTTTTCATTACGCCCTGGCAAGACCGGGCGCCCCCCGGGTGGGCGCGCCGAGCAGCCATGGTGCGATGGTTTGCATCCCTGCCTCCCGAGCGCAGGTTCCCTCCTCGGATTCCTCACCGGCTGAGTACTGCAGGGTGCACAGACTTCCCCACCCAGCCCTTCACGTCTGTGTTCGTACCTCCCGTGTTCACGGAAGCGAGCCTCGGCTCTCTCCGGGGCGGAGAAGGTAATATGCATGAGCTCATCAGGCAAGCCTACCAAGATGAAAAGTTCAAAAGTTCAGGTTCCCCAAGCCTTTCCGAATCTCCATCCACCTAAAACCACTTCCAAGTACTGGGTCATCGTAACTGACAAAAGGACAACCTATCTTCCAGCCATAGGCTAGGGACTTCAATGCTTGTGAATCGCCCCCTTATTCTTATGAGGCTTGTTCTGCGAAAACAACATTCTTTCCCTTACAAGCTTTTTTCCACCTCAAGGTCCTGTTTTTTCCTTCCACCCTCTTGCACCTCTTTCTTTACTATTCTTATTCATCCACGGAGTTTCCAGTAAACTAGACTTCAGCCTAGTGCCACTCTTTAGTAGAAATGCTACTAATGACACTTTCTAGCATTTTAATTCACTGTATTCATTTGGAAAACTATGTTTGACAGTCTCCATGTCCACGGTATGTAAGTTATTGAAAATAAATGAAAATACATTCACATCAATTAAAATCTTAACATGACACCTATCCTAAGTTTATAGGTGTGTATTTTTAACAATCAGGATTTTTTAAGATTGATTTTCAAGTTTTAGGGAGCTAGATTTCATTTTCAGGTAGACTTCAAAAGCATTATGTTGTATACATACGGAAACTGTTCTAAAGTAAAAAGAACACTTTACATTTTCTAAATGTGAAAGCATGTTCCATTTTAACTTCCATTTATCTGTTAAGCATAGACTCTTTAGTCTATTAGAACAATAGATAGCTTAATGCCACAGCTATCCAAGTAAGACCATAATCATCTATATGCATTTGAAAAAAATTCTTATACTGTTATTCTCACACTGTCAACAAACCCCATTTCAGAATAGATTCCAGAAGGAGACAGTCAATTAAAATGCACCACAGACTTTATTTTAAAGTATCTGAAACTGTGGGAATACATTGCTTAAACCCCAACAACTTCAGTGACCTTTATGCCTCACTTGGTGTTCACATATTGCCTTACAAATAAAGAACTGCAAACATCTAGAACATAAATAATGTAGCACCAAGTTTGTAATCAAGAATAACAATTCTTCCCCCTCCCCCCTCAAAACTGAAACAAGTTTAAGCACCCTATGAAAGAACTCTGCTGCACCTCTTATATTATATGCCAAGGAATACACACAAATGATTTGCATCACACATAATACAATTAGAAAACGTGTGACAAGCAGCAATACTACTTTCTCACTCACGTTATTTTATTAATAATAGCATCACAACATAAGCTGAAATAGTTATCTGCACATAATACAAAAATATTACCTTTCATAAAGTTTATACTGTGCCAGGAATCAGGTATTGAACTTAAAACCCAATATACCATATTTGATATTAAATAATATGCAGAGATAGGTACACTCAGTCAAGCTAGTGCAATTACATCTTCTTTAACTTGAAGGCAAACATAAAAAAATCAGTTTATTACTTTACTGTATACATACTTCACAATACAGGTGAGAGCTGTGAGCAAACTAAGTTTCTCAAGTTTTCCTTTTGCTACTGTTCTCTACCCTCAATCACAGTGGTTTTAAAACCAAATGATGAAATTAACTATGAATAGTAGCATTCATTAACAATTACAGAATAAAGTTACTCAAGACAACCAGTTTAATGCACTATGATTTCCACAACACATGAAATCACTAGGAAAAAATAATTTGAAAAGACAGCTATGAGCTTAGCTATAACACCACAATCAATAAAGACTTCTTCTTTAAATATGCTTGACAATATATTACACCCAACACGGCTGCTATTTGTTCTTCCAGACAACCAAAATATAGAACAAGATCTTGACATTGCTATATACTCAAAAATGCCTCCATACATCGTGGTGAAAAAAAGTCTAAAAGAATTCTCTTATCCCTCAATTTTGAAGTGGAGAAAAAAAAAACTCACTTTCAAAATTCTTGTACAGATATACAACATACATACATCAGAAGTCCATTAAACAGGTTCAGGTTTTTTTGCTTTTGTTTTTTGTTTGGTTAGTTTGCTTTTTTTTTTGTTTTGTTTTTAAAATATGGTATTTCTGATAGCATGTAAGTTCATTTTCTTTTATTATTTTCCTATTAGAAAGGGAAATTCATCTGAATAATCAAGTTTTGGCTGAAATCCTGCACAGCTACAAGGACTCCCTGACTTGCTGAAGGCTTCTTTCCAAATACCCCATGAGATTGGCTGCAAGTTAAAACATTACAAATTACAGTCCTGGCAGGCTGATAGCACCCACCACAGAGAGTCCCCATAAGGCAACCTTGACAGAGCTCTCTGAAATGTAGGATCAGAATGGGAAGGGACAGGCATAAAATTGTGCTGGGGTGAAGGAGTAGATTTGGAAGTGCACATGCACACTATATACATATACATACTATCTAATTTTAACAAGTATTTTTCAAATTACTACCAATTTCGACAACACACCCTCCATTTATCTGCGCAAATATTTCAGAGTAGGAAAGACATCAATAATTTGTAGTAAATACTCAATATCTACTGAAGCGTTGATATATTATTCCAAGAATCATAGAATGGTTTGGGCTGGAAGTGACCTTTAAAGGTCATCCAGTCTAACCCCCTTGTAATGAGCAAGGTTATCTTCAGCTAGCTCAGGTCCCATCCAACCTGACCTTGAATGACTCCAGGGACAGGGCATCTACCACCTGATACAGGATGACATTAGGCTTTGGCCTGCACAAGGCCTTAGACCTTGACATTACTGTTGCTAAGACTTGTCCCTGACTGTCTCTCGACACAGGTCAGAGGTTATGCAGAGCTGTGGCACTAGCTCAGTGTTAGCTTCTAGAGGACAAAATAAGCCACAATTATGTAACCGTCCCTTTATATCAATCCATATACAGAATTGATCACAACCACAACTGTGTAGCCCCACATGAACAAAAACTCACAACTGTGTAGCGTACGTGGAATTGAGTAAGTTCTCTCCCTAAGGAATATAAAAGTGGGTACAAAGACCCCCCAGATTGTCACATGCTTCGGAGATGCTTTTTGTGCAGAAGCTTCCACCCTACCATCAGTCCCAGGGACTCTTTCCTTGCTTGACATAAGGACTGTAAGTATGGAACCCCATACTCTTGCATTGCTGATGTTTTTCTCTACTATTCTTTCTAATTTTCCCATGTATTCACTCTTAACAAATATGTTATACCTTCACCTATTTGTGTATATTTATCTGTAACTGGGACTGGCATTTGCTGGGAAGTTGAACATGGGAGTGAGTTTTCTTGGTAGAGCTCACTAAAGACTTCCACCATCATCTATCTCCAATGTAGTTATGGTAACCCAGATGTAGGTTTCATGTGTAATCAGCTGGCAAGGCAGGTGCCTTTAAGGCACTACGCTACAACACCATGTCTCTGGGCAACCTGTCACTACCCTTCTTGTATAAAATCTCCTCCTTATATCTACTCTAAATCTACCCCCTTTTGATTTAAACCATTACTCCTTGTCCTATCGCAACAGGCCCTGCCAAGAATTTGTACCCATATTTCTTATAAGCCCCCTTTAAGTACTGAAAGGTTGTAATAAGAAGCCTTCTCTTCTCCAGGCTAAACAACCCCAACTCTTTCAGCCTGTCTTCACGTGAGAGGTGCTCCAGACCCCTGACCATCTTCACGGCCCTCCTCTGGACCCAATCCCACAGGTCCATGTCTTTCTTGTGCTGACTCCAAAGTCAAACACAGTACTCCAGGCGGGGCCTCACCAGCGCATAGAGGGGGAGAATCACCTCCCTTGACCTGCTGGCCACAGCCTGCTGATGCAGCCCAGGATACTGTTGGCCTTCTGGACTGCAAGTGCACATTGCCAGCTCATGTTCAGCTTTTCATCCACCAGTAGTCCCAAATCCTTCTCCTCAGGGCTGCTCTCAATCCCTTCATCCCCCAACCTGTACTGATACCACACGTTGCCTTGATCCACATGCAGGACCTTACACATGGCCTTGTTGAACCTCATGAGGTTCACATGGGCCCACTTCTCGAGCTTGTCCCACTCCCTCTGGATGGCATCCCATCCCTCAGATGTGTCAACAGCTTGGTGCTGTCTGCAAATCTGCTGAGGGTGCACTCAATCCCACTATGTCACTTATGAAGCTATTAAATAGTACTGGTCCCAGTGTTACCTGGGTAACACCACTTGTCACTGAACATTGAGCTGTTCACCAGTACCCTCTGGATGCTAACATCCAACCAATTCCTCATCCACCAAACAGTCCACCCCCCAAATCCATCTCTCTTCAATTTAGAGAGAAGGATGCTGTGGGGGACTGTGTGAAAGGACTCGCAGAAGTCTACAGATAACATCTGTAGCTCTTCCCTTGTCCACTGACGTAGTCACTCCATCATAGAAGGCCACTAGGTTGGTCAGTCAGGACTTGCCCTTGCTGAAGCCATGCTAGATGTCTTAAATCACTTCCCCATCCTCCATGTGCCTTAGCATAGCCTCTAGAAGGATCTCTTCCGTGATCTTTCCAGGCACAGAGGTGAAGCTGACAGGTCAGTAGTTCCTAGGGTCCTCCTTTCTACCCTTTTTAAAATGGGTACGATGTTTCCCTTTTGCCAGTTGCCAGGGTCTTCAACCGATTGTCATGACCTAATCCCTAAAGACTTTTATGGATCTACAGCCACAAGTTTGAATCTTACCTGCACTTGGTGCAGAAGTTGAAAAGATTTTCCTCTGCCTTACATTCTAATGTCAACTTTGTTGTCATTCATTTCGCTGTCAGTATAGTGAACAACCCAGACGTCTTTCTCATGTAAGGTAGCTGCCACCAGCAACCAAAATGCAGTTGCCTTTATCTCCTTTAGGACCCAAAGAGCAAAAATAGTTAGACTGGTTCTGCACCATTTGAGCCTGAACTTCTACAGTGTACCAACTTTTGCCCTGTCATTCACTTCCTGAACTTCAGTGAAACACTTCATCAGAAGGCAACTACACAAGCTACGAGTTGTCACATGCACAGTCAACTAGGCTGAAGTATCTATCTCATATTCCAGTAACTCAGTCATTTCCTCTATTTCCATTAAAATTACAATAAATAATTTCAATTAAAATGACAGTTGCAACTATGATAGCTATATAGCATATCAAAAATAGGAACTATAGTGCATTATTCTTGTTACTGTTATCTAATCATTGGCACTGGTAAATTTTTGACTCAAACAATATAAACATTTTCTAAGCTGCTAACTACAATCCAGACGCAATAATGACATAAAATTAGGCAAATAATTTGGAATAACATTGTCCATCTGAAACACTGACAATCTTCATTGAAGTATTCAACTCTCCACACCTTAGGTGCAGAAGAGGTCACAACTACCTTTGGTCTTGTTTCACATATGCTAAGATCTTTAAATGACTGGTAACATTTGGATTCATGATTTTTCTGTAAAGACCTAAAACAGCCTTCCATTCCTTCTGCATGACTGGTTAAACAATCAAGTAACACAACCTTAAACCATCTTGTGTGGTTTTAACATTCAGTTCCAATCACAATCACCTAAACATACTGTTGCAAGATAAGCCCAGTAGGCAGCTAAGCACCATACAGTCACTAGTTCACTTCTGTCATCCTCGCACCCATGGGACAGGGAAAGAATGGAAGAATAAAAGCCAAAATATTTGTGGGTCAAGGCAAAAATAGATTAACAAGCAAAGGAGAAGTGGAAGAAGAAGAAAGAAAACAAAACAAGTTATGCAAAGGCAACCACTTACCATCTCACATGGGTAGACTGATGCCCAGCTGGTTCCTCAACATAAAATGGCCAACCTCTCTATACCCCGTCCTCTCTATTTTATAGCTCAGCACAACCATTATATGGCATAGAATATCTCTGGTTAGTTCAGGCCACTTGTCTGTCTGTGTTCCCTATCAACCTCTTACACAGGCCCAATCTATTCACTGTGGGAGCAGAGCAAGAAACCAGGAAGGGCCCTGCTGCTGTGCAAGTACTATTTAGGAATAGCTAAAGCATCAGTGTGTCACGTTCACTGTTTTGGTCACAAATCTAAACCACAGCACCATATGAGCTGCTATGAAGAAAATTAAATCTATCCCAGCCAGACCCAGTACACACATACATCTTATATGATACACAGTAGTGCAAAGAAAAGAGTTCCAAGAGATGACAAAACCCACGTAGTATTGCTTAGTAGTTTGCTGTTTTGCCTTCTGGCAGATTAAAGAAGTTGTCTTCTTTGAGTTTAAGATGTTCTGGTAAATTTAGCTGTCTTTTTGCCTCTTCAATGTCTTCCTGAATTGCTGAAACGAGTGCCTCTGCAAAAGAGAAGAAAAGCAGTATTTAAAATCTGGTCTGAATTCTGAACACACAATAGCAAGTGAAAAAGGGTGTACTAGAGAACACCAGAAAACAATCAGAGAGGCAGAATATAATTTTTATTATGAAGTTAGAAGAGCAACATTCTCTGTTTCTACAATGACATGCTTTTCACATGCATTGCACTTCTCATTGCTGTAAACACTTTTTCCTTGTTCGAAGACACTTTATCAAAAAAGTCAACAGAATTTCATTAAATGTTTCCATTTTGACACTGATGCATTTTTAAAAGAAATGGGACAGACTAAACCAATGCTTTTACAACAAGATCATGATTTTCAAGCTACTCTTCAGATGGCTGACATGACAATATAATTTTTAGACTGAAATAAGTAAGTACTGATAGTCTGGAAGCTGTGGGATTTTGCTTTTTTTAGTATGACCAAGTTACACATTAGTAGATTCAGCTTAAAAAAATATTTAATTGCAAAGTCAAAGGTAAGACATAGAATATCTCAAGGTATAAGGCACCCAAAAGAATAATCAAGTCCAACTCCCTGCTCCTCTCAGGACTACCTAAAACTAAACCAAATGACTAAGAGCATTGTCCAGACAGTCCTTGAACTCTGACAGGCTTGGCCCTGGGGAGCCAGTTCCAGTAACCAACCACACTCTCAGTGAAGAGCCTTTTCCTAATGTCCAGTCTGAACTTCCCCTGATGCAGCTTCATTCCACTTGCCCATGTCTTATCACCGGTCACCAGAGAGAGGAGACCAGCACCCGCCCCTCCTCTGCCCCCCATTAGTAAGTTGCAGAATGCAATGAGGTCACCCTTCAGCCCTCTCTTCTCCAAGCTGAACAAACCAAGTGACCTCAGCTGCTCCTTGTAAGTTTTGCCCTCATGGCCTTTCACCACCTTGGTCTCATTCCTCTGGACACACTCTAAATAGTTTGGCGTCCTTTTTATACTGGGGCAACCCAAAACTGCACACAGTACTGTAGGTGGGGCCACATCAGTGCAGTGTAGAGTGGAACAGTAGCCTCCCTCAACTGGATAGCGATGCTGTGCTTAATGCACCGCAGGACACAGTTGGCCCTTTTGGCTGCCATGGCGCACTGATGACCCATACTGAACTTGCCATCAAGCCAAACCCACAGATCTCTCTCCACGGGGCTGTTCTCCAGCCTCTCATCCCCCAGTTTGTACATATAAATAGGACTGCCCTGTCCCAGGTGGTGAATCCAGCACTAACTCTGGTTAATTTTCATGTGGTTGGCAATTGTCCAGCTCTCTAGTCTATCCAGAGCTCTTTGTAAGGTCTCTCTAGCCTTGAGAAACAGCTACATGAAACAGCTGATTATGAAGACAGAGAGAGAACAATGACACAGTAGTTTTAATATGCAATAACAAAACAAATAAAACATTAAAGACCTGCAATACTGACCTAAAGAACTGAAGTTTTTTTCTGATCGAACATATCCAAGAATGACTATACTAAGAATCTCTCCATAAAAATCATTTTTGAAATTGTGGATAATATGCGTCTCCTAAAAGATAAATACGTTGACAATTACCATGATGCACTTTGAGTTTATTTCTCTTGTTGCAAGGATGTTGAGATACTACCACTAATTTGAATTCTCTCCCCGGCATGTATCAGGAAAACAGAGACGGTCTAAATTGTAACACAAGATTAAGAGGCTAGAGCTTTTGATTATGTGAGTAGGGATAATTATACTTTGCATGGCATTTAAGAACACGTGTTTACTTTAGAGGTAAGATTTTCAAGGCAGCAAACCACAAATAAAGCCTAGATTTGTTTGATCATTAAGTTGCTGAGTCCAAATAACTGTAATGAATTTGTTTTTAAAGAGAGCTTTTACAAGTAAATCACGGGAACTGAATGATAAAATTCTAAATATAGTGCAGGCAGCTATCTTGGAAGCAGGGATTCATGTCAAAATAAAACTGTTTCCAAGTATTATCATTTAAAATCAAGTTCTGCAAGACTCAGGTAAAGAACCAGCACCTGATAGCAACAAAAACATAGATGCCACAGTTCAGGATTTTAACTCTGTCACGTTACTATTTATTTTTGGATCTTGATTCTGTATATTAATCCACAGCACCACACGTATGGATTCCACCATGCAAGAGAAGAATTACTGGAAAATAATTTCAAATTAAGATGCCCCAAAATCTCGTACTTTAAATGTGGATGGATTACACAGGATGAGAGACTATCCAGATCAATCTAGGGGTCTCAATCACTGAACTGAATATATCTATTAAGCTTACGTTTATCTAGCTGTCAGCACAATAAGTAACAACCAGCTTGGAAGTATAAATTTTGATTTCAGAAGTATTTAACTAATGGTGAAAGCGACAGATGAAAATAAGCCTGATTTATCTATGGCTGCATGCTCTACGGCTACTGAGAGGTTTGGGGGGATTTTTTTTTTCCCTCTCCAGAGTACAAAAATTTGAGATTGATACCAAATACATTTATAACACCAAAGAGAACTTCTAACCTCATTTATGGATCAAATTCTGCTTATTTTATTCAAAGTCAATGTCTGGCTCACTTATTATAATCAAAGTACCATACAAAGCAAAGTTCTTACCACTGATTTCTTAACATTCTTATAGAAAGGATTCCGTCCGATGCTCAAAACCATTTTATGCACATCTCCATTTCCAACACAGGCCCATCCATAGTATACACCAGTAGAGATATCAGATGGAAAGCTTTCAACTACTTGCTCAGAAAAGTTAGCTGCAAAAATTTTAGAAAGTGTACATTTGTGTAAGTAAAGTACATTACAAAATTTTCAAACACCTACAAGCCAAGTTCCATCTGCATGCTATTTACAAGCAGAACACTGATGATAGCAATACAATGTGTGACTTCCAAAGTATAAATCAGAAAACAGCCTCATAAAATGTAGTCTCTGTGGTAATACCCAAGTTACCTTATCTCCCACACATACTATTTCATAGTTATATACATTCTATCCTATAATTAAATAGTTAATTCTAGAGTTAAAATTGATAAACTAATATATGCAGCCTGAATGCATTTCACTATTAGGACTATCACTGCTTTAGTGTGAACAAAGAACAGAAAAATCAAGTTTCTTTTGCACTGTATAGGAACATCTCAAAATTACTTATGCATTAGTAAGTCTCTTTCTTAGTAACTAAAATATGTAAAAATAAATTAATTTACGTTAGTCACCTGGCACTCTTTTCATCTTGCCTTTTAGGTTATACATATTTGGGGATTTCTAGGATGTTGTTAGAAAACCCCAAATCTGAAATAAAATAGGTTCCTTCCTAACTGAGGGGAATATGTCTAAGACTTTAGCCAAACAGCTGTCCTACTTTTACTTCACACATCGGTAGAGCTCTTCATGCAAAGTTTCCAGATGATTTTAAAGAATTTATAGTTAGTGGATTTATATCCTAGTTCATAAGCAGAAAAAGCTTCCCACCCACATTCCTTGATACTAATAAGCCATATATAAACGATCAAAAGAACCACGTTTGTATTAGCAGATGTTGTCACATGTCCAGTACCTCAGGATTTGTTATAGGTTGTCTTGACTATTAGGATTTGTGCAAAATGCTCGCTGACTTAAGCCCACCTTTAGAAAAGACTGAAATTCATATCACATACACCTCTATCTGTATCCAAACAAGTCAAACAGCGAAGGGCAATAGGAAAATGTACTTCTCGTCAGGACAACTACAGTTGCTCCGCTTTTTACTCTGCTTTACATTTCCTTCCTTAAATCTACTCCAAAAGCCCGCTCCCTTTCTTGCCCTAATCTGAGGTCCAGCAAATTTGTGAGAACGGATGTTTTTCAAACTAGGGTGTCACACCACCATTCACAGTGCACATGATCCCTTCTCAGCATCTTGCAAATCATCATCATCTGATAAGCTAACCAACAAAGAACAAGACAGAAAGATCATTTAACAGAAGGCCGGAAAACAACAACAACAAAAACCGGCACAAATGAGTGAACAAGACCGTAAGTAATGCGGGGAGGGGGGAGGGAAGGGAGGGGAGAAGGTGCGGCGAAGAGGGTGGGAAGGGAGGGGGTAGTAAAAAAAGAGTAAAATAAAAGCACCAAAAAACCTAACAAGGCACCAGCTCAGCCTCCTCGAGCCGGTCGCGCCCCGAGGGGCTCAGGCACCCGCCGCAGCCCCGCTCGGCGGCGGGAGAACCGGCCGCCCCCGCCCCGCCGACCCACCCCGGCCCGCCGCACACCCCGCACACCCGTGGGGACGCCCAGCTCCCTGGAGCCCCTGCCGAAGCCCTTCACCACCTCCCCGCGGCAGAAGTACGGCAGGTGCCTCATGGCAGCCCGGCGGCCGCAGGCCCGTTTCCAGCCGCGCGCAGCGCTTACCTCCGTCTTGCTCTGGGCACTACCATGAGGAGGAGGGGGAGTTACAGGTGAAACGCTCCAGCCCTCAGTTCTCGGACCCCTCTGGCAGGTGCCTGCCTCCCCTCGAAAATGGACTCGCTCAAAGAAATTGAATTTGCATACGTGCCGTTCGAGATGGCGGGCACGCCTGCAGGCTCAGTCTACGTAACGGGCAGCCTACACCGGTATGCTTATGTCTGTGGTATGTATGCCAGATAAGTCTTGGGGGTCCTATTCAGGGCTGCTATAGTGTACTTACTCATTTATATAAAAGCACATATCAGTATCTTGAACGATCATCAAAGTCCTCGAAGTGAATTTCCAATAATTTCCAATTCCTCCGGTAAGGCACGGTTGCTAGATTGACCACTTGGATATAGAACTAGTTACAAGAGCGCTGCTGGAGTTATCTTTAATCCTGTTGGCTAATTTTTTATACAGAAAAGCGACCGAAGTACCTCTGACGTGCTCATACCTAATTGCAGTTGAAGCTGGTGGTACCGGCTTCATTCTAACGATAGGGAACTGTCCTGAGAAACTGACCGTGTCACACCGTGAAGCACTGAATGCTACCAGTGCACGGATCTGCGAGCACTAGTTATTTTACAGGATAAGGCCAAAATTATTTTTAATTCCACCTCAAATTACCCTCTTACTATTTTTTCTTTCATCCTACTTCCCCACCATCTGCTTAATGCTAACCTTGTAATTCATTGCTTCAGTTTGAGTAACTTTGACCGACTTACAGAATCATACGGTTTAAGTAACTTCAGCTGAACAAAGAACAAGGGTGGTAATATATGTAAAAGAAGAAAAAGTGGGACAAAAAAGAAGTCCTAAATACACTAGAATGGCACACATCCTGTTCTGCTGTCTGACATTATGGAGAGATGTTACAAAATGTTTTTTTAAATGGTATTTAGTAATGGAAGTAACTTGGATATGAAGTCCAAATACCAAAGTTGTTACTTAGTTGACTGATGATAGGCCATAACAGTAGACAATGTGACTACTCACCCCTGGAATTTTTAGTTTATTTCAGATGTAGAGGGAAAAAAAAAAAAAAGTGAAGCAAGTGCATTTATATTATTGTTTATAATACGTTTCTTCCTGTTAATAATGAATTATGCCTTTGGGTCTAATTTATATATAAGTAGGTGCATACTTGCATATTTCCATTCTTTTTTTAATGAATAATTATTTCCGGAATTAATTTTTATGTTCTTGTGGCATCCAGAAGATGGCACTAGAACTCTTTTTAAGTGTCTGCAGGTTCCAACACTGGTTTTGGGAACAGCATTTACAATCTTATCTCAGCAACAGAACGGATCTTGAGAAACAGTAAATAAGATAACTGTTTGCTTAAGAACTACATGGTTAGTAACTTCACAAACGTCTCACTGATTACTTATATCTCATACTGTCAAGTAGTTGTTAATGTTAATCCTTTTTTCTCCGTCATGACGGGTTGCTGTGATCCATGGTGAAAATTATTGTTGTACTGGACCTGTTTTTATTCTGTAATAAATTGTACTTAATTCAGCTTGGATGGAGAATTTTACGTAAGTAGAATTTATTTAATTGTATTCAAATTTAGTAGACAAGTTTCTTCAAGAAGTATAGTTGAATTTTGGTCACAAACTTGTATGCCAAGAAAAGCAGTTTGGTAGCTCATACCTACTGTTAGAAAACTCAGGCACTGTATCACACAGCTGGAAAAGAATTTCTGCTCTGTGCTAATGCTACATTTTTTACAGCTATTGTTGTCAGAGAAAAGTCTTTTTTTTTTCTAATGTACATTATAGCCATACAAACCTAAAGAAAAAGGAGCAGGTATCATGTGTCATCTGTGTGACCTTTCTTTTGTCCAGGAATAGCTTGCATCAGCCCTCACCTCTATACTTTTTATAGAAAACTGAAAAAGGTCTTGTTAATTTTCATGCTGCAAGGGAGAAAGGCTTTCTACCTATGCAATAGCATCAGAAAGAGAAGATGAAAATGGTGGCCCTAGTGACTCACATTGCAGGGAGGAGGTAGCAAAGGAAATGGCTGCAATGTTTTTTCCTGATTGCTTGTTATTATTCATTAAGGTCACCCCCTTCCTACCTTCCCTGGGCATATGACAAGGAGGCCTTGAGCAACAGAGGTTACTATTAAAGCCTTGTTCCCATGCTAAGCAATGACTGAGCAAACAGGAAAGATGCTGGTGAAAATTTTCTCAGTGTTACAAGGAATCTGACATTTACAATATTCCTGCCGCCACCAATATGTGATGCTGTCTCCCAAGCACATGCAGGGCATGTCTGCATCTGTTACAGCACTAGCATTTGTTTGTATAACTGTATCAGGAGCCTTGCACAAGTCACTGAGGAGTTTGTGATTTTGAGCAAGACATGTCTACTGGACCTCATACTTAAGGCCCGTGTGTTCGCATGGCTAGATGCCATAAGGGAACCTGTGGGACTGACCCATGCTGGCCTGCACTGCGTGCTGGTGATGTTGTGACAGAGATAATATTGCAGCCTGCCCGGAGAAGATACATGTTCCTGTTTGTTGTGCAGAAGACAAGCCACCACAGCATGGGGGAGAGGACAGAATCTGCACAGCATTCTCAGGGGGAAATCCATCTGGAGTCCCTCTGATGCTGCACAAAAGCAGTCAGTGTACACTTTATCAGAAGGAATATACTCACTATCAATATTCCTCTTTATTCTGTTTTATTAAAACAGATACTTTACTAAGCCATTTGTTTGTCGGACCTTTCTTGCAGAAATCCAGAAACAGCCCTGCACCATTTCTCTCTCTTCCTCACCTCCTCACGCACTCAAGTGCAGAGAGCAACCCTTCTTTCACTTAGGGCAGTGGTGGAAAATACCAGTCCATGTGTGTTACTCAAAGTTGACATAATACATCAGATCTCCCACAGGAGTGCCTGAAAAGTCATGTGTTTGGGTTCCATATTTCTCTAGTTTCTCAGGAATAACATATAGGGTACTTTTGTGAAGGTAGTATACAGAACGACTGCCCAGATATAAATGTTGCAAAAAATAGATGACTTGCTGAAAAATGTTCTGCTGCCCCACTAACCCTGCTATAAAAAAGAAAATTTGCAAAGATAAATAATGTACAGCAAAAGTATCATTGAATGAAAATTCAGAAATAACTGCCAGTTTCACATAAAGTTGACAAAATTGCACCATATCACAAAAAAAAAAAAAAGAGATATGGTGAGATCTGAGTAGATGTTAAAACCTTGATAACAAAGAAGGAGCCAAGTAAAGACAAGAATCTAATGCTGTGCTTGTTAACAATCTCGAAAGGAGCTTTAGCTCCATGGTCGTACACTGACATTAATTTGTTTGGATATGCTGGAAGAAAATTGTTGGTACTGTCACAGATATAACCAGAGTACAATTTAGATCAGGGCAGAACAGAAGCAGTTTATTACTATCGCTATAGGAGAGAACACAGGGCAGCACAGTGACTGTCCCTGCTGATACGAACTCTGCCCAAATGGGGCAGTTACAGGGCTGATAGACCTGCAGGTTATACAACTTCTTCTTCACCAAAACTGTGTCAGATAAGCAGAATATGGTAGATAACAACAGTGATTTAAATCCTTCAGATAAGGAGGCTCTATACAGTACATCCTTTTACAAATAATACACTCCTTTGTAATTGAATCTTGCTGACTGGCAAGACCACTAGCTGCAAATGTGTCTTAACTAGGGAGGCCTGCAGAGACCAAGGAGACATTAAATACTTGGCTTCCACAATACTGGGCTCTTTTTTTTTTTTCCTCCTTTCTAAAAGTAGCCATACCAGAGAATATAGCATGAAATCATTTTAGGTAGATGGTTTATGCCAACAATTCTGAAGTCTGTAGCATCAGCAAAATTCAGATAGGAAACTAAGAACCAGAATGCCCGTTTGTGCAACAACTGACAGTAAAACACTGACACTGTAAAAATGCATGTGTTATAACTAAATCAAAGATGCTGCTCATCTATATGGTTATGCAGGACCACACAGGTTTAATTATTTCTAATGGAAAGGAGATATATGTTTATCCGGTGAAAACATGAACACAAGAGAATATAAGATTTTATTGTGGAATTATTCCTGTCTGCTATAATGACTAAACAACAAGTCATCTTCAACAAAAGAAGGAAGGAGAAATGATACTAGAATTTAAATGAAAAAAAAATCAGCTGTGAAGCAGTAATAGATCATGGAAAATCAAAGGAAAGGCTTGAGCAGAACATTGCAGAGGTGAAGTCTTCAGTCTTTCAGAAGAGGCTTGCAATTAATTCACCTTAAAGCAATTGTGACTCTCAGCTCTGAAATTCGTGAAATACAGGAAATGAAACCAGCTCAGACACTAACTCAGAAGTCCTGATGAATTCATGCATATGTACATACTTTTTTCTTTTCTTACTTTTTTTTTAATGGTTATATACATAATGGTATTATTTGTTTATTTTTACATTGGGAAAGGGGACTTTCTAGTATAATTGGGACTGTTAGTCAATAAAATTTGGAAAATTTTGAAAGGTTGAAGTTAGTATAATTTGTTAGTTAGGAAGAGCTTGACTGATTGTCCTCATGGTTTAGGTTCCCTGTGGTTAAAATACAAGATTTTTCTGGCTTTACCAGAATCATCTTTCACCGCTTCTGCTGGAGAAGCCAGCAAGAAAAGGAGTAATTCATTTTGCAGGCAGTCATATTATGCCAGACCTGCTTCTCACTTCTACAGTGCAATCAGCAAGTCATGTTTTTTAATGGGATCAGAGTAGTGAAAACTCATTGAGAGGCACAGTGAGAGGCCTCTAATTTACCCAGTACATTTTTGGTAGTTAATTTCAGCAACTCAAGGCTGCAATCCATTTCTATGTCTATTTTCTAAATCCATTTCTATTTTTGATTCTGTAATTGATGCTAACAGCTAACCAGTCTCTTGGAAGAAG